ACAATCTGTACTCTGCACAAATATCTATGTGGGTTTATGCAGTTTTAGCACCACTTGCACCCGAAACTCAATTTTTCCGCAGCTGTTTCACGTTAGCAAACAATTTCAATTTTTGGTACAAAACATCCTGTACTCTGTAATAATATTTGTGTTGGTTTATGGTGTGCTAGCACCAACTATAGTCAAAATCTGTTAGAGTACTATTTCCCAAAGATAAAAAAAAATTACATATGTTTTGGCTGGCTAACTACTGCATTTGTCATTCATGTTTGCATTTCATTGTGCTGCATCGTTATTAATAATGGACAGCAACCTAGTACACCCTTTTCTGTTTTTGGCACAGGAGGAATACATTTTTTTAAAATAAAGATGGAGCCTGTCTGATTTCCCTCTCTTCAATGCTATGGGAAATAATTATAATCTGTGCAGCTGATCTGTATAATTTATAAATTATGTATGTGAAAATAATAGTTCAATTTAATATTTTGGGCTGAAATGTGAAAATACTTTCAAATTTAAAATAAGATTCTGTAAATAAGATACAGTCATACCTTTTTTTCTTTATTTAACCATGTAAATCAAATTCTCAACCAAAATAATAAATTTATATAAATGCTGTAGACATAATAAAATATGATTTGCTATAGTGTTAATTTTGCATGGTGGTTTCTGATTTGCATGCTAAAGTTTCTATTTTTTGAGGGTCCAGGTGTTTACACAAAACATTTTCCCTAAAATATGCTTTCAAGACCAATCCCCCTCCCTCTTCTTACTCCTGTTTCACCACCTATACCATAACACTAATTACTATTTTAGAATGCTTTCATCACTTGCATATCTTTCTCTTTAGGTTCCCGAATGACCATTTCCTCAGATTTGTTTTCCAAAAAAATGTGTTTGGTAATAACAACAAGGCAATATTCTGGACATACTGTGCTTCCAATTTAAATTACTTTTTCTATAAAAATAAACACACAGTAGACATATGTGATTCTTTTCGTTTTAATTCTTTTTTCAGCTTAAAATTTTGTTTTCAGAGATTCGGATGTATCCAAATTTTCCAAATGAACATAAGAATGCATGGAAATGAATCTGAAAAAAAGTTATAATGAAAAAAAAAATGAATGTATAAGTTTAATTTTTTGCATTCAGATTTTTGAATTCAGTCGTTGTATAACAAATTAATTGTGATTAGCTGGTTGTGAAGTAGCAGTCGACTGACGCATCCTTAACAACCATGACTCATCTGCTGTCAGCAGGATTCCCTATTGGCAGCAGAATGTAAATAAACTAGGCTCATCCCCAGCTATTTCAGAGATCCTGCCAGGAAGTAAATGAAATCTTCCTCATTCCTGGAAGGATTTAAAAGAGAAATACACCTAAGTGGGCCAACAAATGGACCCTGCTTACAGGAAGATTAGGCCTATTACATGTCCTAGGTGAAATAGACATCTGATACCTCATATTTGTATTTATTCAAAAAGTAATCCCATGCTGGACAATAATATATACATTCCTAAAATGTAGTTTGTACTGTAGGTATTCCAAGATTTTAATGTAGAAAACTGTATCTAAGGGAGTGGAAGCTGGACAATCATAAGACTGTGACATCCCATCAGCCATAAATCAAACCTCTTGATTGGTCAGATCATTTCTTTCAATACCCTTCACAGGGACCAGAAAAGAGACTGCATTGGACTTTACTAAACTCACAGAGCCATCTTTGTTAAGTATTTTCATATTTAAACCCTTTTTGTTTTTATTTCTATTGCATTATTGTCTCTTTTTCTTTTCTTATTCCCTTTTCGTTAAGTAATCTGTGTGCTCCATTTTACCTGTTACTAAAAGAAAAAAAAAGTTAATATTGTTACCAATGCACCGAGCTAGAACTTAAAGAATCCATGTCTTGTTGAAGAACACTACCGTGCCGAAAATCTCTTGAATATCCCTGTCTGTGGTGACAGTGTGTATTACAGACATTTATTAAAATCATGATTGTTATTGTGAATGGTAATAGACCAACACGCTCCCTGTCAGTTTAACAAGTTTAAACCTAGAAACAAGAGCTTTCAGTCTGCTGGCATTTAGATTGTGGGCTGAGAGTGTCAGTGGTATGAATTTGACCAGACATTTGTAACAAGTTGGTGAAGGTGGCCTGGGTCTGACATAAGGTTCATCACAGTTGCCATTGTGGTTTACTCCTCTATTAAGAAAAATAATTACATGTAATAAATATTCCAAAGCCTTGATTCTGGGACAGGCTCTCTGTTTGTCTCTGTTTCTTGACATAAGAATACAGTAGAGTGATGTACATCTACATACATTTTACAGCACAGCTCCCAGGATAAGTTTTCATTTGTGAATAAACTTACAAATGTAGAAAATATTTCAAACATTTTTAAAAAATCGACTAATGGAAAGATAAGAAAGCTGTATTATATTGCTATGGCAAGATGCACCACCAAAAATAACCTAAAGCCAACAACAACTTGTGCTCCAGTGTTTGCTTCATATGTTTTAAATTTTAAAGAATAAACTATGCTTATGCCAGAGAAGTGGAGTCTTGGCACAAGTCAGTTCATTGGCAATGCACCAGGCTCTACACTTTCTGCGAACATACTTTTATATCGGTCTTTTCATTCTTTGTTCACTTATATTTATTTAATTTGTACTTTTCCAAGTTTGGTCAACTTCGACTTCGACTTTGACTTTGAACAGTTACCATTGTTCTGTAAAAAGAAAATTCACTCTTGCCTCTACTATATTGACTCAAACTTTGGTTCACCATGCGATGGCTGGCACAGTTTTACATGCCTTGCATGATTACCTCCAGGTTCTTATATGTGCTGTATATGCACTTGGGGGGGCTTATTGTATTAACGTCTGTCCCATGCAGTGTGATAAATGCTTGGAAATACACTTCTGCAAATTTACTTATTGAAAGAATTTCAGAGCATGTTCATTTGCTTTTCATAAATTTGCCCCAATATTCTTTATTCAATAAAATATTGATGTGTAAAATTGGATTTTAATTATGTGTAATTGTTTTTAAGTTTCTAATGGTTTCTAATGGTTCATGTTTAACTTGACAAACTTGACTCATGTCTGTTACCCATCTAAATGACCTTAACTGGTATACCATTAGCAGAGGAATGAATCACGGACACCAGCTTGAGTTGATTTTTATTGCTGCAGATTTTTGGACCACCCAAACAACTACTGAGGCTGCCTGTGAAAATCATGCTGTTCTATAACACCATATACAGGTTTTAAGGTCGCCCCCAAGCCTCTATTTTTCAGACTTTGTGCATTTTCAATGTCACTCTTTGAAAGTACATGAAAAGACCCTTTCCCTTCAGTGTGGTATTTTTGAAAACATTTTTGGTGCTGGTACATGTCCCCTATGACAGTGGCCATCCCCAAATGCCTTTTGTTGCCAATAGTTTGCCAATTATCCTTACAAACAGCCAGAATTCACTGACAGGATTCACCCCACCGTATATTTCTATGATATTCACCTCTAAGTTCAGGTTAGACAATTACATAATTTGCAATGCATGTTGTAGTACAATATAGGTAAGTGTTCAAAGTGTAGAAAGTAGTCACAGATTGTTTCATATTTGTATGGGGATGAGCGTTGTACCATACCAAGAACTGCCAGGTTTTCTTGAGGTTCAGGAAGCAAAAGGGGGTGAATATGGAGTGTGCAAAAAGGCAAGTATTACCCTTAACAAACATAAAAATTTCTGAGCTGCCTCTCCCAAAAACTACTTTAAATAATTAATTAAATAAATGAATGAACTCCATACTACACAAAGGGTCCCCACAAATGTGCATGTGCTATAATTCCCCTTGGGCTGGCAATTATATCCCTACTCCCAAGTGACTAAATCCTGTTTTTCACCATTCATAAGCATCTGGTCCCTATTCAGGTTTGCTATGGCATTAAGGGTGTCATTTATATGTGCTATTTTTAGCACTATTGTCTAAGCACCATGTATTTACTTATTGGTTTATTTGGGATTAAGTCAATGGGGAGGAGGGATATAATTGCCAGCCCACAGGGCATTATAGCACATGCACATTTGTGGGGCCCCTTTGTGTAGTATGGAGTTCATTCATTTATTTAATTAATTAATTAAAGTCGCTTTTAGGAGAGGCAGCACAGCAATTTTTATGTTTGCACTCACACATTTGCTAACCAGTACACATTTGTGATTTTGCTAGCAGCAGCCAGTCTAATTGATCAATCCTCTGTGCAGGTTATACTCACACATAACTCTTAACAATTTGCAAAATTTCAGTTCTCATGTTTTCCTCTCAAGCAGGCATACATGGTTTCAAATACAACAAATTGAAAACAAACAACATGTTACTGAAAATGTTAGTAACTAAATAAAAACATAACTGAATTAGAAAAATGGATGCAGCAGTGGAGCCTTGCTTTCTTATTTTCAAATATTTACTAGAAGTTCAGGAGCATTGCACAGAGGATTTTATTTCTCTGACACTGCAATATCCTTTAATGGTAGCCCAACATTATGGATTATGAATAATCCCCTCCAATTATGTGCTTTGTGTAAACTGCACACAGTGCAAGAGGCTAATGTATCTTCTTATTGAAGGTAAAATGAATTCTACAAGATGAAGAAATGAGGAGGTTTGATTTACTAAATGTAAAAACAAAAGTACTCAAATTAGCAAAAAAAAAAAATCAGTATTTGGGACATTCACTATATTACCTGAAACATGGAACCTGGTTTCAGGTACTCCACTTGAGTAAAATGCAGACATCCTGAACCCTATGTTGACATTGTAATCTTGATCTATGCTAAAAGGGAAATATACAGAGCAGATACTATTCTCTCTTCTGCTGTGGGTATAACACCTATGACCCTACTTAAACTTTACCAACTAAAAATAACTTGATAAGAAGTCACAAAAAGGATTAATTAAATATTTTATTGTGTGAAATTAAGAGATAAACTATAGTTTTATGTTTAATAGCTGTGGTGGACTTTTCTGAAGGAACCGATTTTTGGTTGACTGGCTCCCCATTCACTGAATCTCCTGTACTCTCCAGGTCTCAAGTAATACTGACGTCCTCTGTAGTTGGGCTCCTCATAGAACATCCAGTATCCATCTTGTACATCAACAGAGTGGATATCATGGTAACGAAATCTCTCATAGACATTTGGACAATCTTCAGTGAACTCCATCATCTGACCTCTGAAGTCTTCTCTTTCATAAATCCTGATTCTGAATAAACCCTGATGCTGTGATTAAAAAATTAATAATTTTTAAATAAATTGACAGTGCAAAAGATACTTAACCACTTGCCCTCCAGAAGATTTACCCCTTTCCTGACCAGGCTGTTTGTTTCCATGCATTACTTTAACTGACAATTTTGCGGTTATGCAACACTGCACCCAAATGAAATTTATGTCCTTTTTCCCCCACAAATAGAACATTCTTTCGGTGGTATTTGATAGCCTCTGTGGTTTTTATTTTTTTGCGCTATAAACAAAAAAGGACTGACAATTTTGAGTAAAAACAATATTTTTTACTTTTTGCTATAAAACATATCCAACAAAAAAATTAAAAAATTTGAAATTTTGTCATAAATTTAGGCCAAAATGTATTCTGCTACATGTCTTTGCTAAACAAAATCCCAATACGTGTAAATTAATTGGTTGAAAGTTATAGCGTCTACAAATGGTGGTATATATACTGGAATTTCTTTTTTTTATACTAGTAATGGCGGCGATCAGTGACTTATTGCGGGACTGCAGCAGGTATTCTGACACTGGGGAGGAACTGATTAACTGCCACTTACATCCCCAGTAACACTAATACAGTGATCGGTGCTAATAAAAATACTGACATTGTACTAATGGCACTGGGCAGGAAGGGTTTACATCTGGGGTGATCAAAGGGTTAACTGTGTGCTGTGTGTGTATCACTGTTTCCCCCCTTCAGTGGTACTAGGCGATCACCAGGTGCCGGCGGGTAATCACCCACTGTGATTGACAGCTGAAGCCGCCAGCGGCGGCATGGGTAGGGCATGCATGCACCCCCTACCCAGAAATGCAAAATCACATATATATATACATGATTTTGCACAGCCCTGCCACCCTGTAGCAGTATTACTGCTATAGGGTGGTGGGAAAGCGTTTAACTAGAAATATCCTCTATCCCATTTTGTGGGGGGGGGGGTTGTAATATCCATTTGCTCTTTTAAAAGGCCAAGTGTTTCTTAAGAAACCTAAAGTGTAACTCCACTTTTGTGAGGAAAAACTAGCAAATAGAAAAAAATAATATAGTGTATACGATTGCAACACAAGTCATGTTGTAAGTGAGTGTTATTAAAAATGACCTTTCCTTTCCAATATGTAGTGCTGTAATTTTCTGTAAAATGCAATATGGCAACTAGGAGGCATTCTGTACAAATGTTGTATGGAACTTACCCCAGAAATGTTATTACCTGCTTGTATGATTGGCTAACTGATTTTCCAAAAAGTCTGCACTAACATTCAAGTCAGATTTTGGGCATCTCCTGCAAAAAAAATTAATTTTTGGTGAGATACTTCCAAAGGGAAATTATGTCTAAAGGGATACAGATATTGCCACTTTCCTCATGAGAGCCTTGCAAGTGCAGCAGATGATTGATAATTATAAATCTCGTCCATACAGAATCTCTTTGCACATGGACATTGACAAACAAACAGATATTTCTTCAGAATAACAAAAGGTAGGTATATTTAGCGAAGTTTGTTAAATCCCCTGCAAAGTACATAGAACACCCAGAGGGGATTGTTTTTTTTTTTCTCAACAAAAGTGGACTTACTCTGTAATATATATACTTAATAATAGTTAAAATAAATGTATTAATTTGTTTTTTAAATAGTTAACTGTCATAGTAGAAAAGTTTTAAGCTCTCCCACACATATTATAGCAGGCGATTCCAGGTGAGTTCAGGTTGCTTACACTTTCTTCTACAGCTTAATAGGGGCACTATGGTGTTTTAATATGCACACATCAACTTTTTATGTGAATCTAGTACTCTTTCTACTGTATGTGCCTCTTTATTGGTCTAAAACAACTTAATCAGAAGCCTGTGACAGGTGTTAACGTTATCAAAGAAATTAAAATTGGCACATCAGAGCATTGGGGTGCTTTAGAAGGGGGTACCTTCTTAGAACACTAAGAAGAGAATGCCTTTCAATACATGCAAATAATAGCCTAACACGAACCTTACTACCTTGAAAGATCTGCTTTAATGTCCATAAACATTATTATACTGAAAATGCATACTGATGTTACTGTTGTTTTACTGATACTTAAAAACAGATTTGCATCTAGGTAACAGTGTTTGGTATGGAAAGAGTGGATCAGGATCTAGTAGGCTTTTTCTTTAAACTAGCCTGTTTTTAAAAAAAATGTTTGGCTTTTCAAAAACTATTTAACACAATTGCATGGCAATTTAAATGCATTGTTAAAAAAGTAAATGTTTGATAGTTACCTGGGGGCTCAGACGACAAGACCTAATAGAATCATTATAGCCCATCCATTGCTGGAAGTCTGGATATTCTCCCCTGTGAAGGAAGTACTGGTGTCCTCTGTAGTTGGGATGTTCATACAGAATCCAGTTTCCACTTTCTACACGGATGGAGTTGCACCGCCTAAAGTATGAAGACAGGTCTGGACATTCAGAGTTACACTCATAAGAGCGACCTTGGAAATTTCTGTCCTCATAGAAGATGATCTGTCAAAAGTAACACATGTCAACCATTTGTGCATTTCTTTCATTACTATAAGTTTGAATATGTAAGCAATTCTGTTTTGGTAAAATAAAAAATATGCTGTTCTAAAGACAATAACATTTCTAAAATGGAAGTAAATATAGTATACCTTTCCCATGTTGTAGGCTTAGATGTGTCCCAGTGAAGTGTGAACTCAGGACAGCAGGGATAGAAGGTTTATATACACAATACTTTGAATGTGTAAAATTAATGCTTGCACTTTTCACCAGTAAACAAAAAGGGGAGCTGTTTCATCCCTTTTATGTAAAGAACCCCTCTGTTTCTTTGTGATTATTGTTCTTATTTGTTCCATGGCACAAAGCCTACAAAACATTGTATCACTTTGAACAAAAGATGATTTTCGAATGTATGAAGGGTTTATATTGTAGTTCAAGAACAGATCATAGGCAGCTTTAAATTAAAAGCAAATTCTCTATAGGAAGAAACACAATAGCACATTTATTCAAATCAGACCTCTATTGATCATAAAGCTTTGCAGACATCACTTTGGAATTCTAAAAAAAAGGTGAAGCTCTATAACTGAGACATAAACAGAAATCCCAACCTTATTACTTGTAGAGCATTTCAACAAAAACATCCTTGGCAAAATAGGTATTTCACTTGTGTAAAATGTCTATTGATCTACCTTTGCACACTTGACCTGCCTTTGCACACATAACACCAACATAAAGGAAAAATTGTTTATCCTGGGAACACACATGCTCAAGCCACTTCCAGATTTATTAGCAACATATTGCATCAATACATTTGTCATGGGTGGTTTCACACCAAATGTTGAACAGGGTGTCCACAGATGTTTTTTTTAAGGATTGCACTAGTTTATGTTTCTTTTAGACAAACTTTGACAGTTTGTTCTCTTACTGATCTACACGTATGCTGGACAATACATAAATATTCCTATTTACATAGTTACATCATTTATAAGATTGAAAAAAGACACATATCCATCCATTTCATCCTTTGTGCGTGTATGTATGGGTGATCTTCTAACAATTCCATAGTTACATAGTTAGTCTGGCTGAAAAAAGACAACAGTCCATCTAGTTCAACCATAAAAAAAAAAATTATAATCCTATAACCACAGTGGATCCAGAGGAAGGCAACCCCCCTCAGCAAAGCATGATACAATTTGCTCCTGCAGGGGAAAAAATTCTTCCTGTTCCCCAAGAGGCAATCGGATATTCCCTGGATCAACTTTACCTATAAATGTTAATATCCAGTTATATTCTGTGTATCTAGGAAAGAATCCAAGCCTTTTGTAAAGCAATCCACTGAGCTGGTCAGAACCAACTCTTGAGGGAGTCTACTCCACATTTTCACAGCTCTTGCTGTGAAGAAACCTTTCCATATTTGGAGATTACATCTCTTTTCCTCCAGAAGTAAAGAGTGCACCCTTGTCCTCTGTGATGACCTCAGTGTAAATAGTTCTACACCGAGTTCACTATATGCACCACTGATGTATTTATACATGTTGATCATATTCCCCCTTAATCTCCTCTTCTCAAGAGAGAATAAATTCAGTTCCTTTAATGTTTCCTCATAGTGAGCTCCTCCATGCTTCTTATCAGTTTGGTTGCCCTTCTCTGCACTTTCTCTTGTTCCCCAATATTCTTTTTGTGAATTGGTGCCCAAAACTGAACTGCATATTCCAGATGAGGTCTTACTAATGATTTGTACAGGGGTAAAAGGATCTCTCTCTCTCTAGAGTCTATACCTCTGTTAAAAAAAAGAGAGGATTTTGCTCACTTTAGAAACCACAGCTTGGTATTGCATGCCATTATTAAGCTTGTGATCTACCAGAACTCTCAGATCCTTCTCCACCATTGATTTCCCCAGTTGCACTCCCCCTAGTATGTATGATGCATATACTTAGCCCCCAAGTGCATGACCTTACATTTATCAACATTAAACCTTATCTGCCACATAGTTGCCCAATTAAACAGTGCATTGAGGTTGGCTTGTAAGTTGGAGACATCCTGTAAGGATCTGCAAAGACTGAAATGGGATTTTGAATCCCAATATTGTTTATAAATATATTAAAAAGTAAGGATCCCAACACTGAACCTTGGGGTACACCACTGACAACCCTAGACCATTCAGAGTATGAATCATTAACCACTACTCTCTGAAATTCGGTCTTTTAGCCAGTTTTCTACCCATTTACATACAGATTTTTCCAAGCCTGTAGACTTTACCTTACACATTAGCTGTGTGTGGGGAACTGTGTCAAACGCTTTTGCAAAATTCAAGTATACCACATCCACAGCCACCCCCGTGTCTGAGGTTTTGCTCACCTCCTCATAAAAAGAAATCAGATTTGTTTGACAACTTCTGTCTTTCACGAATCCATACTGTCTGTTGCTTAAAATTTTTTTTTCAAGCATGAACTCCTCCATGTGGTCTATTATTAAACTCTCCAGTATCTTCTCAACTATAGAAGTTAAACTAACAGGTCTATACTTAATTGATAAAGATTTTGATCCCTTTTAAAGATAGGCACCATATTGGCCTTATGCCAATCCAGTGGTACTATGCCAGTCATTAAAGAGTCCCTAAAAATTAGAAACAATGGCTTTGAAATGACAGAGCTCAATTTTTTAAGGACCCGTGGGTGTATGACATCCAATCCAGGTGCTCTGTTCATCTTTATTTTGTCAAAATATTTCTGGATCATATTAATTGTGAACCAATGTGGATCATCTGAGGCTGTGACAATACCATGTCCATTAAGGACAAGAGCTACCCCATGCTCCTTTGTATACACAGAACTGAAGAAGGTATTTAATGAATTTGTCTTCTCTTTGTCCCCAGCCACCCACTCTAGATTATTTTGTAAAGGGCCTACATGCTTGGACTTGACCTTTTTTTTTTTATATTAACAATTTTTATTGGTTTTCAAGTAAATCAAGTGTTACAGAAAACAAAGGGAAAATAAAACAAGCAAAACATAGAAGTACATCGATGGCTAAGATTACATTTGGTCAGGACCAGTGGAGTCATATAGTAACAATGCAAAAAAAAAAAATCATGGTCTTACAATTTGGGCTGGCATAGAGGAAGAGAAGGTATCCCACGGGAGCCAAATCATCTCAAATACAGCAAATGAACCACTATGTGAAGCAGTCAAACACTCCATCTGTCTTACATCGGTAATAAGTTTATACAAAGTTTGCAATGAAGGTGGGTTAGAGGATAACCAACACATAGGAATACTTCTCCTGGCCGCTGTTAGCACATGTGCAGCAAGTTTTCTGGCCAGTTTAGATAGACCCGGGAATGGCAAGCCCAGCAAAAAATGCAGTGGGTCAAATGGGAGAGAAACTTGCAACAATGATTGCAACAAGGAGCGGACCTCTTCCCAAAAAGGAGCAATGGAGCTGCAGGTCCAAAAAATATGATAAAGAGAGCCAGAAGCGCTACTACAGCGCCAGCAGGCAGGAGAAGCACTCGGATTATAAACATGAAGAACTTCCGGGGTTTTGTACCACAACATCATAATCTTGTATATGTTTTCCTTAAAAACCACACAAATAGAGGATTTAGATGCATTATCCCATATTTTCTTCCACGTTAATAAGTCAATATCACGTTGTATAAATTGAGACCACCTACGCATATAAAGGTGAGCGTCATTGGACAAAGGGGGGGGCCTCCATAAGAATTTTATAGGTGCTAGAGACAATACCCCTTTGATGGGGACCTTCCATACATAGACGTTCGAAGGGGGTAGGTTTCCCCAAGCTCAATGAGGGTGATAGAGTAGAGAAAAAGTGGCGTATTTGAAGGTATACATATAGATGATGAGGGGGTAGAGAGGCTTTCCTCTGGAGATCCGAGAATGAATGTAACTTACGAGTCACCGGGTGTACCAGGTGACGTAGTTGAAAAAGGTTAGATACTACCCAAAGAGACATCCGGGACATGGCCATATTGTCTGGAAGATTAGGGTTATGAAGGATATTTGTCAGTGGGGAGCATTGAGAAGCCAATGTGAATTTAGCCTTACATTTCTGCCAAACAGTCAATGAAAAAAGCATGGGGCCTAGGAGTGAGTGGCGAAAAGAATGGACATCCACCGCCGAGGTCGACCAGAGAAGGGAACACAGATGAACTGGGGACAATTGTAAAGACTCGATCTCAGTCCATGGTATTGGGAGGGTAGTGAATGGACCATGACAGAAGAAAGCGAAGGTGGGTTGCAAAATAGTAAGTTATTATATCCGGTGCTCCCAAGCCTCCCCTAGAACGTGGGGAAAGCAGAACAGAACGAGCAATCCTGTGCCGCCTGTTGTGCCAAATAAAATGTAAGAAAGATTTCTGAAGGGAGTGAAGCTTGGACATAGGAACGGGTACGGGGAGGGTTGCAAACAGATATAAAAGTTTGGGTAGTACGGTCATTTTTAAGACATTAATACGACCGAGGAAAGAGATAGGCAAGGCATCCCAGTGTTTCAGGGAGCGAGAAATTGCTATAAACAGTGGGGGAAAATTGGCCTCGTATATGGATTGGTAAGAGGAAGTAAGGTTGGTGCCTAAATATTTTAAAGAGTGGGTGCACCACCGGTAGGGAAAGGCTGCCTGAAGGGAGGAAAGAACAACAGGAGAAACATGTATTGGAAGTGCCTCAGTTTTGGACGTGTTGACCTTATAACCTGATAAAGCCCCAAATTGTTTCAAAATTTTGTGCAAAATCGGTAAAGAGGTGTGGGGACTCGTAAGTGTGAGGAGGATGTCATCTGCAAATAATGATAATTTGTACTCATGAGAATGGGATTGTATCCCCCGGATATCCGGATTCGACCTGATGGCAACAGCCAATGGCTCCAGACAGAGAATGAACAGCAGGGGACAGAGTGGACATCCCTGACGAGTGCCATTTGACATCTGAAAGGGGGGTGAGAGAAAGGAAGCTAATCTGACCTGTGAGAAAGGGGATGAATAAAGG